CTCGAGGAAGATTAGAAAAGGTAGGAAAGCGAAAGAGGAATTAGAAAGGTAGGTAGGAAGCAATTAGAAAATAGGAAGAAGGAAGATTAGAAAGGTAGGAAAAAAGAGGAATTAGAAACGCAGGAAGGAGGACATTAGGAAGATTAGAGAGTAATATAGACAAGGAAGGTTGAAAAAGGCAGAAAGAGGAAAGGAGGAAGGGAGAATGAAGATTACAAAGGCAGGACAAAGGACGAAGACCAAGAGAGCGGAAAAATATGGAAAACAATAAGGAGAAGGAAGATAAAAGAATTCAGGAAGAGGAAAATTAGGAAGACAGAAAGGAGGAGGCACATTAGGAATGTAAGAGGAACAATGATAATCATTTAGGTAATAAGAGAGTGGATAAATACTTGTCTCTCGAACTCCTAAAATGATCGACATGTTGAATCGAACAAGTGCAGAATTGTTGTGAGCACGTATCAAGTTCTTGCTCTTATTTAATCTCGTTATAATATCATTGTTCTGGACTGTGAAAGTGTGATTATAGATTTAGATATTTAGCGTTTATTAGCCATTACTGCAAGCTTGTCAGCTTTTTCATGACCCGTTATCTCTGGGTCCTCTGTACTTTGTTTTTTCTGTCTGTCGTTTTCCTTTGTGTGACATTATCTCATATATGCCTTGTCCTTAACCTTTTTTCTTTTTCTTCGTCTTGGTGTTTTCTCGTGCCTGGGCCTTTATTGATGAGCGCAGTTTTTGCTTATCCCGGTGTCACACTCATATATTTAGCGTTTATTAGCCATTACTGCAAGCTTGTCAGCTTTTTCATGACCCGTTATCTCTGGGTCCTCTGTACTTTGTTTTTTCTGTCTGTCGTTTTCCTTTGTGTGACATTATCTCATATATGCCTTGTCCTTAACCTTTTTCTTTTTCTTAGTCTTGGTGTTTTCTCGTGCCTGGGCCTTTATTGATGAGCGCAGTTTTTGCCTATCCCGGTGTCACACTCATATAAAAAAAAACACACAAACACGAGAATTTACGAATGAAAACGTAACTAGAATTTTGCACAGGTAATAAAATAAAAGGATATAATACGATAAAGAAAGGAATAATATGAAAAATGGAAAAGCAGAAGGAGGTGATAAATAAGGATAGGGGAAAGAAGAAAGAAATGACAAGGGTGACATAAAGAATAATAAAATAGGATAATTAGGTGAGTGTTTATCTCTCTCTCTCTCTCTCTCTCTCTCTCTCTCTTTCAAGGACAGTCGTTGGAAACAGGAGATAAAAAATGTTGATGATAAAGTCACATATTCGCAATAAAAGATGAAATAAAAGATAGAATTATAGGTGAAGGTAAGGCCGTAAACTCTCTCTTAAAGATATGAGAGAGAGAGAGAGAGAGAGAGAGAGAGAGAGAGAGAGAGAGAGAGAGAGAATATGGCAATAATATGTACATACTTAAGAACCACATTCAGAGTAATAATAATAAATAATAATAATAATAATAATGAGAGAAATCTAGGACACTCATATGTCAAGTAAGTGGACATCCTACTGTTTAATTAATAAAAAAAAAAAAGCTTTATTTATTATTTTTTCCTATCAAAAGCATTCTCGTGGCCACGTGGATAATGTCAAAGCCTAAAAAAACGTTTCCTGCTGAGACCATTACGAACGTTTGGGAATTCTTTTCTTGAGTCATGAATAAGATGAAAGAGAATAATTCCTAAGAGAAAAGAGGGGAAATGAAATGAACATACGTGTCATCTAGGACAGTGATATGAGGTGAAATGAGAAGAAATGAGATGAAAGGACATGAAATGAGATAATTTTCCTCTTGTCCCCAAATTTCAAAATCTCCTTTCTCTAATGTTCACTTCATCTAAGAGCACAAGAGAGAACTCGAGGGTGGGGTTGTACTTGTGGGGGTAGAGATAATGAAATGACCATACATGTCATCAACAACTGTGAAATGAGATGAAATGACATAATTTTTTCCATTTACCCTTAAATGTTTCAAAAATCTATCTCCAGTGTTCAGGTCACCTATGAACACAAGAGAAAACTCGAAAGTGGGGGGAGAGAAAAAATGAAATGAACATACATGTCATCAAACACTATGAAATGAGATGAAATGAGATCATTTTCCTCTACATTCACACCCTCCATAGACCTTTCTCCAATGTTCAGTTCATCTAAGAACACAAGAGGGGTTGAGGGTGGGGGTGGTGTTACTGGTGGAGGGAAAGAAAAATGGTTGAGGGTTCCAGACACGTGACTTGAAGAACACCAGTTTGGAGAGATCACAATAGCCTGTCTGAGTCGCCTTAGTTCTCGGGACCATGACGAGCGCTTTTAGTAGATTCATAACAGCATGAAATTCTCAACAGGAAGAGGAGTATTTGGAGTGGGGGGACGGGGGTGAAGAGGATAAGAGAAGGAAGAAGATGAGAGGGATGATAAAAGAAAAGAAGAGTTGGTATGAAGATGTACAAAAGGATGAATAAGTCTTCTTCATCACCTTCATGCTGTGATATTCTTCTTTTCGTGTTTCCGTCATTCATTCAATTTTGGCACCTTTTCCGGTGAATGAATGGAATTTCCAACGGCTCTGCACAATTGAATGAAGGCAGGATAGTAAGTTTTGGTAGTTCATTTATTTAAGCTTCGTGTAGACATGCGATTCCAAATGGCCAATTTTATTTTCTTGTTTGAAAAGGATGTCTTTACTGCGAATAAGTAAAGCATATACTTAAAATGATTAAAGTTGCAATGAAGAATAAGCCATATCGATATAAAAATATAAACGAAAATATTAATACTCTCTTTATCCATATCATAAAATGTTTATGAAAGAAATACAAGCATATAACCAACATGTAATTAGGTATTTTAATTAGTGAAATATTATAATTGTCTTTTGGAAGTAGTGGTTTATCTCTGCCTCTTGCCCCCAAAAGATGGGAATCACTGCTACATACATGAAGTTATAATTATATTATTTATAACTCCTTCAAGCATGAAAGCTTGAACTAAAAAAGCGAAAACCCGTAAAAAGAAAATAAATATTTTTAGAGAAGGGTCAGGCACACCACGATGCAATTTCGATACGTACGGTCGAGGCAAAAAAATATCGTGACCAGAGACACAAAAGGGACAGACGCATTTGGTAAACAATGACTTAATTGTGGCACTAACAACTTTTTTGAGTCACGAATAATCGCCACGATTGTTATCAAAGCCAAAGACAATTAAGAAAAAAATTTAAGACAATATTAAGGAGAATAGGAAGTGTCCCACGCTCTGCGACTTACGTAATGAAGACAGAATAGAGAAGAGTGCCAGTTTGGAAAATCGCAGTGCCAATATGCTCTATCACGGTGCCGTCTTTGGAGACTCGTGTCAAGAAGATAAAGAAGAGCGATAATATCGTATATCACAGTGCCATCTCTGGAGTGCCATTATGGTATATCACGGTGTTAACCATCTATAGAGCGCCATGACTGTACAGTACAATATGGTAAACGCACTCATGACTGTACAGTACAAAGTGTCAATATGGTAAATACGTGCCAATATAATATATAAAAATGCCGATTCTGCATAATTAAAGTGTCATATACGGAGAATGCCAACAATATGATATAAAGGTACATCAAAGAAGTGCCAGTATGCACTTCTTAGTGCCAAGACGGACTTCAATTATGTATCGCCATTATGGTAAAACCACAATGGTCATAAGGAAGACTTAATTCCATTTACAGAGCGATTCAAACAGGTAATATAGGCTATCACAGTGCTATCTATGGAGTGCCAATATGACAATTCATGGTGCCATCTATGGAGTGCCAATAAGACAATTCATGGTGCCATCTATGGAGTGCTCAATATGGACAATTCATTGTCCTATTTATGGAGTGCCAATATGGCATTATGATGCAGTCTATGGAGTGCCAATATGATACTTTACAGTGATATCTATGGAGTAACAAATGCTACTCTTGACTCTATATATGGAGAATTAACTTGATAAAATCCAAATGCCAATAAGGAAATAAAATATATATTGCAACTATAGTGTCAATAAGGCACTTCACAGTGCCAGCTTTGGAGTGCCATTACGGCAAATCATGGTGCCATCTACGGAATGCAAATGGAGAAATGTAAATTGTTTTTCTTACGCCATTTTCCTATGAGAAATGTAACTTGATGTCAGCGACGAGACATTTCTGTACATTAATAACGAATTTAATTAAAAATGGGTTTGTATACAAATGTGTGTGTGTATGTGTTTGTTTGTGATAAAAATGCATAACCAATAGCAATACATATAAGTTTTTGTGTATGAGTGTGGTTGTGTGTGTGAAATAGCAACGAAATAATAGACATAAAAGTAATGTGTTTATAAGTGATAAATAAATAAACAAAAATAGCTGAACAAATAACCACATCACAAACATAATTTCCCTCTTTAACATTCGCAAATCACATAAAAATTACATTTTGTTTCATTCATTTATTTCATTTCATTAATTTACATTTCATATAATTTTTTTTCAATAATTCATGAACTTCTTTCCTAATATTTACATTTCACTCTAATATTACGTCATTTATTTATTGAATCGTTATTTATATACTTCGTTTTATTTTATTTATTTTCATTTTTTTTTTCATAAAACTCGAAGTTTACACGTGGTAAGAATATATTCCTGGAGAGGGGGGGAGGGTCTGGTTCTCTTGTCAAAGGTTTTAATTAGTTTTTTGGGGCATTAAACCTACCTGGACAACAGGTAAAACTTTCTCATGTTCCAGAACTTGTAGACTTAATTTGTTTTAACAGACACTAAGATTTTTTTTTAAATTTTGTGTTTTCGTATAGTTAATATATAGTATTCATTTATGTATGTATATACATACATACATAAATACACACAATATATACAGGAATGTATATAAAAGTATTTACAGAACTCGTATGTATAGTTTATATACACATATGCACGGATGTGGAAGCCGCGGTAGCTCAGTGGTAAAGCACGCATGTCTTAAGGTGACGAGCTTGACACTGTGGGTTCAGTCCCAGCCGCGGGGCGTTAAAATGGCCATCTAAACTTAAAGTCCCGTATAGTCCAACAGTCTGTGTCCTCCTTCATTTATGGGGACTAGAAATTTTTTTTATTTATGTACGTATGTATGTATGTAACCTACGTACGTATGTATGTATGTTTACGCTATATAGAATAAATGGACCGTAACGGAGCATGTATTTGCGGTTGTTACATTTGCAAAAAAAAAAAAAAATCTACAGTTAAGGCCCTAGAATTTATAATAATAATAATAATAATAATAATAATAATAATAATAATAATAATAAAAGACTACGAAATATCGAAGGGAAAAAAAAAAACACCCACACACACACACAACGCGAGAGACCACGGACAGACGTGGTGGTTTCCTGGACACTGGTTTTCTATTCTTCCAGAGCTTTGTGGTTTCTGGAAGGTCATAAAAGAAAAGAGAAATGAAAGAAACAAGCTTCCAGGGCATCTTGCCTGGACAAAGCTTACCGGGGCATCTTGGACAGAGGGAATATTGGGCAGGACAGGGCTGGTCAGAAGAACATGAGTTATGATCATAAAACCAGTTGATTTTAGTGTTGTTTGCAGTGATAAATATAATTTTCGTAACGGAAAAGATATATAAATGGATTATCTAAGCACTTCTGCGCACTCAATATGTCTGCTGAGTTGACAGGGATGGCGAATTTGGGCTGTAATCATGAGACCAGTTGCCTTTAGGGCTTCTTGTAGTCAAAGAATCCTTTTGAAATTCGGGAGTGAAATATAATTTTATTTTTATTTTTTTTTCGGTCTATTTGTCTGCTGGGTTGATGAGGGTTGAAAAATTAATCAGATGTTTTTTGGCTGTTAATAGCCCTATAAGCATTCTGATTAACCCCTGAATGGGGTTCAGCGAGTGCCTAAAACACCCCTCTCATGGTGACACTCCGAATGGGGCTAAGAGGGTGTACTCAATACCATCACAATTCTCCCCTCCCATCCCATCCTATTTTATCCTATCCCAATCCAATATCAATCCTATCTCTATACCTCTTCGACAACTGTCTCTCATCTCATTACCAATCCAAGAAGTGGGTAATGAGGAGATAATACCCAGTAAATACCCACTCATTACACAACTGGGGCATGGGTACTACACAGCATCTCATGCCTTTACACAACTGCTGTCGTTTGAGAAGACTAGTCTTCGCCCCTCATTAAGCATATTAGGATACCCTAAGACTCTTTTCCAGCTTTTGTTGTCGGGATTTTCATCTTCTTTTACATTAGCAACTACTACTACTTCTGCTTCTTCTTAATTTGTGCCTTCTTTTTCTTTTTATCAGTAGAAATTAATGATAATAACACCACTAATAACTACAATAATAATAATAATAATAATAATAATAATAATAATAATAATAATAATAATAATAATAACAGGCTTTAAATACCTACACGTCTCGCGGTTTCCCCGTATCTGTCCTTTCCAAACTCCACCCTGCCACAAAAATACGTAACGCATTCCACCGATGGGGGAGGGGGAGGAGGTCAAATACGCATAGATAAAAACTCATTACTACACGCAAAAGTTCATACTCAAATTATATATATATATATATATATATATATATATATATATATATATATATATATATATATATATATATATATATGCCTTTTCCCCCTTGTAAGGGGGGTGGCCGAGCCAAGAAACACGCATTCACCACGATCCATACACACCTCAACCACTCCTCTCAGCTCCTTGGGGATAAAGGGTTGCCACGTTTCCCCACCCTTCCACCCTGCTTGGGTCACCCACAAGGTATGGAGGCAAGGATCTTCCACAATGTGGCCCGACAGCCGCAGCTGGTTTACCCCCACAGTCTCATCATATGGCAACTCCCCTCACACCCGTCCTCCACAGTTCACTGAGTTAGCAGGTGCGAGAAATCTCTTTGGGCCGCGTCATATATGCACAATCTTCCTCCACTCATTCCTATCTCTTGCACGCACTCTTCCCTGCTCCACTGACATTCCACGTGCATTCAGTGCTCTTTTCACGCCATCCATCCATCTCATTGTCGGTCTCCCTCTTGACCTAACTCCAATCACATCTGCACTCCACACTCTCTTCACTATTCGTTCATCACTCATCCTTTCCATGTGTCTAAACCACCTCAACACCCTCTAATCTATCCGACAGCAAACAGACACGTAAATGAACAAATACATGTATAATTGTGCAAATAAACAGACATAAGCATATAAATGAAATGCAAATAAACAAATAAATTAGGGGATTAAATAAAAAAAAATAGATGAAGTAAATTATGGCGATTTTTCACCATGTTAGAGTAAGCACGTATAAATGACATCAGGTGCCTATTCTAGGATTGATCCCACTTTTCTTGTATCCATATATGAAGCATTGCGAGGTTGAATGTACTCATAACGCGCGCTTAGATTAAATAATTCGTGTGTGTGTGTGTGTGTGTGTGTGTGTGTGTGTGTGTGTGTTACCTCGCTCCATTTCCAAAAGGCAATAATTCTCTCTCAATCTTATCTTATTATATTTCAAAATATGAAATCTCTCTCTCTCTCTCTCTTAAAGTGACTTAACAACAGAATCATCAAAAGAAAAGCGACAAAAATGAGCCAGATGGTAAGCGAAGGAGGGGAGGGAGAGAGAGAGAGAGAGAGAGAGGGAGAGAGAGAGAGAGAGAGAGAGAGAGAGAGAGAGAGAGAGAGAGAAGCCTAAAGTCTGTCATTAACGAACTCCAAAAGCTAACAATGAATTAGCG